GGGCAGCTCACAGGGCCCGGTGGCTACGGCGACTGAGCCACCTCAGCTTTTTTTTGGTGACTGTGTGTGTCTTTATTTAGTGTGTATGTGTGTGTAAGCCTAAGGCGTTCAGTGATATGTCACTTCCTTCCTGTCAGGCCTATGTATCATTATAGCTCTGGCTGACTCTGTGGCCTCAGCGCACCCTCCTCCTCCTCCTCCTCCTGCATCTTCATCCCTCCACCTACCTTCATCTTCCTCACCTCCTCTGTAATTAGCTGTGTCAGCCGCTGAGCTAATGGGCTTTTATCGCAGCTAACGAGGCCAGATGATTCATCATTTAGAAAGTCCATCACACAACACAGCCCGGATTCACTTCATCAGGAGAAAATGCAGTGTGTGTGTGTGTGTGGAGGATCTATTGTCAGGAACCCTAACCCAAACCTGTAGGCCAGGACCGACCACAGTGAGCTGGGTGACATCACTTCCATGTATAATTACACAGCTTCACAGCAAACTGATGAATGCCGTCATGGTTTACAACTGACTGTGTAAATGACTCATTTTGAATTTGTACTTGTTCTCAAAATCAGATTTTCTATTCACTGAAGGACTCTGGTCAGTTTTTCACCTCGACTGAAGGTTTCTGTTTGATGGGCATTCATTCTAACGGTGAAAACCGAGAGATCAAAGGTGCTTTGATGTCGGCTGGAGAAGAGTTACAGCCTCTGAATATAATCCACTGCAGCACAGCGGGCGATTCCGTCGCTGCTTACCTAACATGCAAATCATTGGGAGGACAGGTTGTTGAAGTGAAGAGCTGGGTTTGATTTGGAGCTGAACTTTACTTGGTGGTTTGATTATTTTAATTTTTAGTCTTGTGCGGCCTGTTTGAGAGCACATAGCTCCATCAGAGAGGAGACTAATTAAAAAGACAGAAGCTGCGAGATTTAAATAACTCAAATGAAGAAGTGGGCGGAAGCGTTGAATGGGGACTATAGTCTGTCAGCAGGAAGTGGTCTGTCCACAAACAGCTTCAAACCCACTTCAGCCTCCATCGGCCTGTTTACTGTCTGACAGACCGATGCTTCTCATCTGTTTCTCATGGATCTATTGTCAGAAATGTAACATTATATTCATAGGTTTTCATTAGTGTATAATCACCTGAATATAGGAATCATTACATCAGAATGAGAATATTTACACTACCGCTACGTTTGTGCCTCAAAACCAGTAAAACCACTAATAATTCAGGAAAAACTCTTGAAACCTGTTATAAATAAGTTATTACCTACAGAGGGATCGGGTCCTCTTCTACGGAGTCCACCATGGGTCTACAGTAGACCAGAACGGACAAACCAAACACTGACTCTAGACAGGGTCGCTGCAATGCTCTGTGGCTACCATAGTTTCTCCTTCGGGTTTGAAAGAGGAGGGTGAGGCGGGGGGTTGCAATCTACAACTTCATTGCTAGATCCCATCATCAGATTATCACAATATTATTATATTTGTTACAGAATTCACTCGGGATGTACAATATGTTTTTTTGTAGCCGATACCAAAACAATAATTTCACATTAAACCCACTTTCCCACTTTTTATAAAAACTCTGCACCATCTCATCTCGGTATTTTAAATGTCCTCAACACCCTCAGTCTCCAGAATTACCTGCACCAGTGTACAGGCTTTCACACTGTGTACAACATCAGAGAATATCAGGCTCTCCGGGTACCGCCGCTATGACCACCATTAAAATACAGCACCACAGGCAGACAGCTCCCGCAGGAGGGTTATTCCTGGTAAGAAGATTGTTGAATCCTGAACATAACCGGTTCAAGAACCAGAGCTAATTAGGTGGAAAAGGTGGTACCAACAGTTCCAGTTTGGAGCCATGATTGGCAAACGTTACTGCACAGACTATTCCTCGCTAACATGTTTTCAGAAACATATTTTACAATGTAATATAATAATGTAATATGTAAAGGTTTGTCTGACGGCCAGCATGATGATCTGAGATGTGGCAGTTTGGAGTGCAGTGGCCACCTGAAGTGGCACAGCATTATCCTTACCTCTCACTACGCATGTCATTCAGAGGCAGTGGGCTCTGTTTTAAAGCCACTGAGCCCGCCATGTCCGAGACTAAATAATGCTCCAGATTGACCCGTCAACATGCTTTAGTCTTATTTTAGCAGTGTGTTTGAATATTTCTGAACTCTGGGTCCATAAACAGTGTCCGACTGCAACTGGGAACAAAGCTGAGACACATACGAAAAAAAGAAGTCACTTCAGCAGCTACGTCACACAGCTACAGTGCTGTCAGCATCACACTGATCTGAGTTCAGTGGCAGATCTGTCATTCAGTACACACACTGTTTAGTGTAGGCTAATTAGGCTGCATCTATTGTATCTGCTGTATCTGCTGTATTTAACAACATGGGCTCACACTCGTGTATCGTGGATGGTGTACTGTCTGCTAGATACGTGTCGCTGTGGTGAACAAAGCTATTGTTATTTTTATATATATTCATATATTTCAGTCTGTTTGTTGAGATCCTGTGTACCTCTGCTACAGCTTATAGACACACCAACACGTCATCATGTCTTTCGGGTCTGGTCCCACAGGACTGGTCCATCCCTCAGGTCGGGTCCCCCTAGTGGCCTGGCGCACTTCCGTTTTGTGGAGTGAATTTGCAGCGTTTCTCTCTTGGAGTTGTTTTGTTGTTTTGTGTGTTTTTGGTATTTGCAGCATTTTTCTTTGGCAGTGTTTTGTGGGTTTGTAAGTTTTTCCTTTTTCTTTTGTAACATTTTTGTGGAATTGCAGCATTTTTCTGTTGCCTACAGTTTTTCCTGTTGCATTTGTTTATGTGTTTTTGTTTTGCATCCCATTCCTGTGTTTGCAAGCGTTTTTGCCGTTTTTGTTGGCCGCCGTTTGCAAACTTGTTGGCCACCGTAGGTCAAAGTCAGTTTCACCTGTGAACATTTATAAGGCCCTGGAAAAAACACCTTTTTTGGAACAGTATTATCAACCACCATAACTCAGGAAAACAAAGAGAGTGATTGTGAAACCATGTTTCAGCAGGTTGGTCAGAAACTGAATTGGTGACACCTTTTTGAACTCTAAGGTCAAGATTTGTTGCCGCCCACCTTCACAAAACGCTTGTAAAAACCTATATAAATCCAAATATTTTTTCTAAACTTTTAAATGAGTCAATCTTTTTAGAACTACTTTCCAGCTTGAATAAATAGCATATCGAAATTATTTATTATAAGTTTGGGGGGATTTTAACCCCCCTTTAAAGGCCAATTGTTTTACCACAACTCCTGCCCTGGTTTTTTTTTTTTGAAAAAAACTAAATAATTTCTCCATGAAAATTAATGGCAAAAGATAATACTGCTTATAAATATTATTTTGGACCTGAGTTGGGTATCAAATGAGTTGGCAGCAACCAATTGATTTTATGCATTATTATTTCTGCAGTTGTCCAGATTTTAAACAAAAATCACACATTTGTATCCTAATGACTAATATAAAAATTAAATTGAAAAGCTTGTAAAAAGATCAAAATGAAAAATCTTAACAATTAAAAGGAAATGACTTAGTTTTATGTTAAGATAAACATGGGATCAAAAAAATGGCGTTTTTGAATGGTTTTCCCCAATCGGCCAGTTTTTCTTGCCGTAAACTTATGTGTGAGTTTTTGTGCAATAAGCCCTAAGGCCATTTTGGCTTAAATTGTTTTAAGGAAACAAGACCCAGAAATCTAAACAAAAGCAAAAATGAATATAACTTTTGGGCAAATTGAAGCTTCAATTCATTGAACACAGCCAAAATAGCATGAAAATAAAAAACGGAATGGTAGAAAAATGTACCCAGGAACCCCTAAGGGTTAATAAAATATAACTAGCACAGTACTTACTGTCTGATTCTGAACTTCAAGCATCATCAGAATCACGTGACTGCAGACATCGTAATTTGTAAATCATGATCCTGTGAGTGAATGAGTTTGACCTGCAGCTCATAGAGAGGCTATGGTATCCAAGCTGCCTCTAGTGGTACGTGGAGGAATCTCTGAAATAGTATTTTTAATTAAATAAAAACAAAAACATTTAATACTATTAAAATACTACAAAATATCAAATGAAAATACTATAACAGATTGCTGAAATGTAATGTAAGACTTGATTCATATGTGTGACAATGTTTAACATTTAATTTAACATGACATTTAACATTTTCTCTTCTTCTTTGTGACTTCTATTATAAACGTACAGTTCCTGTTGATTTAAGTTTGCCCAATTCAAAACAGTATTATACAACCTTATTTTAAATGATTATTAAAAATGTAGCTACTTTTAACACTTAAGCAGGCTTTAGCTTCTGATTGAGCTACTCGTTTTCAGTCCAGTCTGGCAACATTGCTTGTACTCCATACCTTTTCACATCTGTCTCTCCTCCGTAACCCTCTAGCAAGTCAATATAAAGACCAACTGCAACGTGACTGTTGCCTGGATGGCATTAGGAACATTCCTGTTTCATACACCTGTGAGAGGCGCAGCGAGTACATCACAGACGGTGCAGCTTGTGTCGAGGCCTTCCTGCATTGTTGTAAGGAGATGGAAAGCCAGCGAGCTGAGAGGAAGGAGGACAACCTCCAACTGGCTCGCAGTAAGAGACAGGGACAAGAAATAGAGCGATACTGGTAGTATTAAAAAAAGTAGTAAAATTAATGAAAATTACCATAGTAACTATTCTATGACATTTTAGGTGAGGAGGATGACAGTTACATGGACACCAATGAAATAGTTTCTCGCACCAAGTTTCCTGAAAGTTGGCTGTGGTCAGATATCAAACTGCCTTCTTGCCCTCGACAAACACCAAACTGGTGAGTCAGTTGAAACCTATACACACAAATGAATGCAGTGATAACCTTACATTTTGCCTCTTTTCTTTGTTTCAGTGACACCACATCAGTTGTGAAAAATGTTCCTTTGCAAGATTCTATCACAACCTGGCAATTCACTGCCATTAGTCTGTCAAGAACTCACGGTGAGTATTCAATGATTAAACTCTGTCTTATGTTTAGTTCTGCCTCTATCTTCAAAAACAAAAAAACCCTACGTTGCACCATTTCTCTTTTTTCTTAGGTCTGTCCCTCACTTAGTTACCCCTTTTTTCCCCTTTTTTATCTTTCAAGCCTTGTTTGTTGCTTACTTGTTTTCTTTAAGGTATCTGTGTGGCTGAACCATTAGAGATAATAGTACGGAAGGATTTTTTCATTGAACTAAAGCTGCCCTACACTGCTGTCCGTGGAGAGCAAGTAGAAGTTAAAGCAGTACTCTACAACTACAGCCCTGATCCTGCCATCGTAAGTCTGGATCATTCAAGCAAGCGGACACAACATTAGACATAAATAGCATTATTGTTATTTTCTGGGTAATGATACAGAGTACCTGAAATATTTATATATATGTGTGTGTGTGTGTGTGTGTGTGTGTGTGTGTCTATGTTAAATACTGATTCACTTTATGCAGGGTTTTTTATTTTGATCAACAACATATACCTCTATTTATCTTTGTCTTATTTTTAAGGTGCGTGTGGATCTGATTGAGGAGGCACATGTGTGCAGTGCAGCTTCTAAGCGCGCATTATACAGACAGGAGGTTAAAGTTGGGTCCAAAACGACACGATCTGTCCCCTTCATCATTATTCCCACGAGGGAAGGACAATATCGCATTGAGGTCAAAGCAGCTGTTAAAGACTCAATGCTTAGTGATGGAATTATGAAAATGCTGCAGGTGGTGGTAAGAGAAATATGCTCCATGTAGTGGGTTCAGAGCTTTTCTTCTGTTGTCTACAGCTACATGATAATGTATTTAGGCCTTTTCTATCTGTACAATAAGTGTCGGCAGCCACCTAAAACCAGCAGGACAGACATCTCTGGCACTCGTGATATAAATTTATTTACTTCTTGTGAAACACTGACACTCAATGACACAACAAAGATTTAAATATATATTTATATATAAAATATATAAATGCATGCAGTGTTTACGTGCATGTTTGCTTGTTTTTTTTTCTTCCTTATCCTTCTTTGCAGCATTGCTACACTTCTTCATGTGTTACTACCAGTGTCTGTCTATCAGCATCAGAATAATGTGAAAATGGTGTCAGGAATGTGTGTATCAAATTCCCGCATCCTCGAGCAGGTGCATGTGCTTCCGCATTCATGTACACGCTACAAAAATTGGAAAAACATTGCTCCATAGCGCCACTACTGGTCAAAAACATTACAGGGTACCTTTAACTGCTAGTTAAGTTTTTATTCACAATTCAGGGAACTAAAAGGTTTTTTAGAACAAAGTTTTGAAGTACAGTCAATAAAGTTTACTTAAAAATAGTTGTGATCCCTCATGTTTGTCCTAACTGTTTTTTTCCCAGCCAGAAGGCATACTGGTTAAATTTCCTCAGACTGTAACTCTTCACCCTGCAAAAATAAGTGAAGGTGAGTTCTCTCATTAAGCAGCTGCTGTATGGAAAAAAACAGTCATTATAGTATCTGTTTTAAAATTTTAATTTACAGGCCATTAACTACATAATAGTATTAACCAAAGTTGTAAAATTGCAATTACTCATTGAATACTGAATAGAAGCAACCTGTTACTTATACGATGTTTGTTATTTGTATATAATTATTTGCCTGTTAATTAAAAGGTTACCTCTGTTTATTATTTGTGAATTAATCTCAACAAATGTTCTACCCTTTAGATGGCAAACAAGTAGAAATGATCAACAGTAGAATTCCTATAAAAGATTTTGTCCCAAACACACCGACTAGCACACAGATCTCTGTGACAGGTAAGATTTGTTTATGGCATGCCTTGTCGTAACACGCCTGTAGTATTACTTCTGCATAAATGTGAATGGTTTTTGTCGCAAATTATGACCTCACTTGTGGAAATGTTTGCAGGAAGAGAGCAATCAAATAAGCTTGAGAATGACATTAAAGGGAAATCAATGGGTAGTCTGATCTACCAGCCCTCAGGCGATGGAGAGGAGAATATGATCCACATGACCCTGCCTGTCATTGCAACCACATATTTAGACAAAACCAACCTGTGGGAACCTGTGGAAATTGAGAAACGTAAAGAAGCCCTCCAACACATCAGCACCGGTGGGCTCACACAAATGCATTCATGAGCACAGATGCTAGAAATTTTATTTAAGGCCCTTATGTGTAAGATATAAAGCTTAGATACTTTGAGACTTTGGTAGACAGCAGTACAAGCAACTTCATTTAAAAGTGCTACCTAAACTGGCTTTTAGTACAGATTCAATAGAGTTTAGTTGCGTCAGTAAACGGTTTTGTGTTTGTTTTATGTAGGTTACCAGAATCAGCTTGCCTACCGTAAAAATGACGGGTCTTTTGCTGCTTATAAAAATCATCACAGTAGCACCTGGTGAGGCCTGTCAACACAAATGAACTCATACATAAATGCTTGCACATCCTCCCCTAACGTAGATTCTGTCTATGTGGGAATGGATTTTTTTCATAAAAGTATACTATTACACCTTCTCTTCTCTCCAAGGCTGACCGCTTATGTTGCCAAAGTGTTTGCCATGGCCAAAAATCTGGTGGCCGTGCAAAGCAGTGTGATCTGTGATGCTGTCAGCTTTCTGATTCTCAATGCACAGCAATCTGACGGCTTGTTTAGAGAAGATGGAACATTGTACCATGTAGAGATGATGGTGCGTGCCTTGATTGCATCAGTCTTCAACTTGGCACAAAACAAAAGACCATATTAAAAATCATTACATATCACTGACATCTGAATAAACAGATTTTTGGTATTGATTTACCCACGTTTGTGTTTTGTATGTTCGCTTGTAGGGTGACGTGCAAGGCGTAGATTCAGATGCCTCCATGACTGCCTTTTGCCTCATTGCCATGCAGGAATCACGCACGATTTGTGCTGCCACTATTAATGTGAGTACCATACCTGCATAAAATGTTTTTTTCATTTTCCGTCGCCTGTTGTTTTTCTTCATTTACCGACCCTACACTACAAGAGTAACTGTAACTAATGAAGTTCAGTATGGCTGGAAGTGAGAGAAAGCTATAGGTTTAAGCTTGTCCCAGAGTCTATTGTGGCTTTAAATTAAAAGAATAGCCACTGCCTCTTTCATCGGGGGGAGTTGTAGCTGTAGTCCACGCCCACTGTGGATATTAAAGAGAAGCAGGGGAAGACACTTAACTCTTTCTTAACTTAATCAATCAAAATTTAATCAGACAATCAAACAATAGTAATTTAATGAAAGTGAAAATGGCTCTAACATACCTGTCCCTAATTGCTTATTATATTCTCATCTCATCTCATCTTCATCCGCTTAGTCGGGATCGGGTCGCGGGGGTAGCAGGTCCAGCAGAGGACCCAAACTTCCCTTTCCCTGGCCACATTGGCCAACTCTGACTGGGGGATCCGAGGCGTTCCCCAGACCAGTGTTGAGGATATAATCTCTCCACCTGGTCCTCGGTCTGGACCCCGTTGGTCCTCCCAGGTGGGACGTGCCGGAACACCTCCTCAGGAGGCCGCCCTGGAGGCATTCCTCACCAGAGGCCCGAAACCATCTAAAGCTGGCTCCTTCGAAGGAAATAAGGAAGCGGCTCAACTCCGAGTCCCTCGCGGATGTCCGAGCTTCTCACCCTATCCCTAAGGGAGACACCGGTCACCATCCTGAGGAAACCTATTTCGGCCACTTGTACCCGCAATCTCGTTCTTTTGGTCATGACCCATCTCTCATGACCATAGGTGAGGGTAGGAACAAAGATCGACCAGTAGATCGAGAGCTTTGCCTTTTGGCTCAACTCTCTGTTTGTGACAAGCGTTGGATAAAAGGGATCGCAAAACTGCCCCAACTGCCCCAATTCTCCGGCCAATCTCCTGCTCCATTTTACCCTCACTTGCAATTACCAAATAATAACCCAGTGTTAATATATGTGTTAGTCCTGCGATAGACTGTTGACCTGTCAATTTTGTCCTGTGCCTCTCTACCAGTAAATGTTGAGATCCAGTAGATGTACTGTGCTCACAGATTTTCTGTCTGTTAAGCCGTCTCTGTTCTACCTTGATTCTCCTTTGTTTGTCCTTTCTGTTCCTTCTGTCCAGAGTCTGCCAGGCAGTATAGACAAAGCAGTGGCCTACCTGGAGAAGCGTCTGCCCAGCCTCACCAACCCATACGCTGTTGCCATGACATCCTACGCCCTGGCCAATGAAAACAAACTAAATCTGGATATCCTCTACAAGTTTGCTTCCCCAGGTTTCTTTATACAACAATATGCACATATTCAGAAACAGAGTATAGAATAGATAATGCTATTAAGTACAAATTGTAGCATAGAAACAGTCTTGCCATTTCGTTGTTAAATGTACTGTCCACTGCATTAGGCTACATATCCTGGCTTGTCAGTATACTAATATAATTTTTTTATTTTTTATTTTTTAGAGTTGTCCCATTGGCAGGTACCTATGGGACGTGTTTACACACTGGAGGCCACAGCTTACGCTCTTCTGGCTCTGGTCAAGGCCGAGGTGAGCATGACTCAGTTACTTGTATCTTTGTGTCACCGGTATCTCATGCCATAAAACCTTCAGTAGTCATCTTTCATGGTACTACACTAAAGGGCAGGAGGTTTGTGAAGACAGGCATTTTCCTGACTCAAAAGACCCTATGACATCACTGCTGGTCATTTTCCAAAAAACATTATAATACACAGATAAATAAAGTTGAGCTGCGCTTATTGGCTGCACTTGGTTTCGACTCTTCCAAAACAGGAAACAATGGGGACTTGCCTGGTCACACACTCGTATTACAGATATATAGGATGCTAAAATATGTTTCTAAAAACATTTTAGGCAAGAAATTCAGTAAGAAAACATTGACACCCAAAAGCATACATAATGCTATTATCTATTTCACTCTGAATGGGACCATAATTTACTAAATGAACATAATGCTAGCAATTGTGACCATAAATCACATTTGGGAAAAATGCAGGTTTAAGGTACTTGCGCTTTGGCCTCACATCTCAGACCCAGAAGCTCTGTCAACTAATTATATACTGTCAGTGTGCCCTCCTAAGCAGCCATTTTATTTATTTTAGTATAGAGGGAAAATACACTTGCAACTTGTTACAATTTACAGGAGTAATCCATTTAAGAGACAATGTTTTGTTGTGTATTTCCTGCTAAAATAAGGCACATATAGTAAAAATTGGCCCAGAAATTCAAAGTGTAGAAACTGGCATTGACTATAACCATATATGATAGTAATGATATTTCTGTTATATAAAAGCTATAACAATGTATTCTGTGTTTTTACTATCATCATTTTTAAAAATGTAATGCAGTCAAACTCAAAGATTCCAACCTTGTCCTCTGTTAATAAAGGCCTTTGAAGAAGCCAGACCTGTTGTCAGATGGTTCAACAAACAACGGAGAGTGAATGGAGGCTATGAATCAACTCAGGTAATGCAGACCTCTCATTCTCTATCTCTATCAATGCGTTATGTTTCTGTAGCACTATTTGACTTGTCTTTGTGGTACTCTGGCCTCAAACCAGTTGATAATTTTTTTTCTCTCTAGGCCACCATAATGGTGTACGAGGCTATTGCTGAGTACTGGGTTACTCCTAAAGAAAAAGAGTATGATCTGGATGTGGACATCTTGTTGCCAGGCAGGTCAAAGCCTGACAAGTACAACTTTAACATTGAAAATCACTTTACCACGAGAACATCTAAAGTGAGAACACACACACGCAGTGGCTCATTAATATAATCACTTGTTTCTTCTGCTGATCCACGTGTGTGTGTTTGTGCATATTTAAATCCCTACAGATCAATGATATAAATCAGGATGTTAAAGTGACTGCCACAGGCACAGGAGAAGCAACAGTGACAGTAAGTACTATTTAACTAACATCTGTTGTTTATTAAAGTGTCCGTTTTGAATCTTAGATAATATTATTTTTTTTTTACCTTATTGTTTTCTTTACCTATTGTTAAGATGGTTGCCTATTACCTTATCCCATATTACATGAACTTTTGTCTGTGTGACAGATGGTGTCGCTGTATTACGCTCTGCCTAAAGAAAAGGACTGTCAGAGGTTTAACATGTCAGTGCAGCTCATCCCAGGTAAATGTCTATGTTTGCGCATCCTTTTACTATTTTATGAGAAAACATTTTATGCTCATCTAATGTTTTGTTCCTGCAGAGAAAATGGATGAGGATGAGAAGATATATAAGCTGAGAATAGAGGTTTTGTAAGTACAATGAAAAAGTCATTACATAAAATGGCTTTATACAGAGCATTCTTTGACCAGTCCCACTCTATTGTTCCACTTCTTCCCCTCTCCGTTTCGGATTCTCAATTTATTTTTGTTGTTCTCTTTTCAGTGCTGTAATTGTTTTTAATTGCATTGTGTCGCTGATTTCCTTGTTACCCACTCCCATTTTAATAACTTTTTTGTTGTTTCCAATTATTTAATTTTTTCAGAAGGAAAGAGACAACAAATGTTGCCACAAAATATTTTTTTTGTCAACTTATTTAAATGTCTATTATATTTATTATATTTTAATTTCAGTTTATAGCTATATAGTATTCTGCCCACATTCTCTACAGGTATAAGGACAAGGAGCGTGACGCAACCATGACAGTGTTGGATATTGGCCTATTAACTGGCTTCACCGTTAACACAAATGACCTGAGCTTAGTAGGGCATACACACACTTACATGCACACAAAGATCTCAAAGATGTGTTTTAATATTTGGACACAAACATACAAACTGTGTGTGTGTGTGTCTGTGTGTTTGTGTAGTTGTCCAAAGGACGTGCCCGTACTATTTCAAAATATAACATGAAGACTGTCGAGTCAGAAAGAGGCTCACTCATGATCTACCTGGACAAGGTAAGACAACACTCTTTCTTCCTATCCCCTTTTCTCTCTGCTTTGTTCTTAATTTCTTTATCTCTACCTCACCTTGTTTTACATCTCTCCGCAGGTGTCTCACACACGACCAGAGGAGATCATGTTTAGGATGCATCAGAAGCTGAAAGTGGGCGTCTTACAACCAGCTGCCGTGTCTGTCTATGAACCCAACCATCAACACAGTACGTCTCAGAGACATCCAGAAACATACTGTATGCTGCCCTTGTCTCTGACACACAGACAGTTTGCCACTATTGAGCTTAAATAACAATTATTTGCTTCCAATAGATTTCAGTGAATAGGGCATTGTTAATAATACTGCGTTATTACAATTTCAAGATAAAACAATATACATTTCCAAATAGCTACAATCCTGCAATTGGCATTAAATATTTTTTAAATATGTTTCTTTCTTGTTGCAGCAACACCTTGTGTGAAGTTCTACCATCCAGAGAGGAGATCTGGACAGCTTCTGCGGCTCTGTAGAAATGATGTATGCGCATGTGCTGAAGGTAAACAGGATGTTGTCGAACTGACAACCTTAACTGTCTATTGTAAACATATATTTGTTGCATTTGAAATTCTTGCCAAGGAGATAAACCATATATTTCTCACTGATTTGGGGGTTGCACTCTGGATTATTTGCTTGTTTTAAGATCAGGTGAAGGAGATGGTCATTTAGGAAGATTTTTCTAGTCGACTAGTAGTCTTTAGATAACTACAGTAGTCATCTAGTTGCTGCATGTTTATGATATTAATTGAATTATTTAAATATATAGATTTTCACAGCCGTCTGTGAAATGATAACTGAAGAAGCAATAAACTTTCTGAATGTATCAGAACATCCAACAAGGAGACTGAACATTTAGTTAATTTAGTTTAACAGAGTATAAGATCACACTATTCTCATTTTTCAAAACATGGACAAATAACTTCCAACTTCACAAAAACAAATACTGGCAGACTTATTGATCTATAACCTCAACAGTTACTTCCAAAATAACTCGCTACAAGCTCGTCCTGGTCTGAGCTGCTGTAAATCAGCTGTGTGCCCAGTTCAGTTTTGTGCTCCATGGCAGTCTTCGCTGCTGGGACCCCCTCTCCTACCCTGGTAGTGTTAAAACTCCCCCTTTCCTTCAAGCTCCCAGTCCAGGTACAGACAGCTAATAGGACTGCTAACTAGCGAGTGGCAGCAGCTATACAGTCAGCATATGCAGCAATGCACAGGTAAGTGACGCCCTGTGTTGAGTTTTAACGTTGTTTTTGTTCGCATTTTTATTGATTTTCTATTAGTTCGTTCATTCATTTGCAGCATATGTTGAAAGTGATGATATTGGTATCTCATTTAATGGTATTTGTAAGTCCTCGTAATACTCTAGGAAATGGGTCCAAATCTCCCTAAAGGTTTTCAGGGAGCCTTTAAGGGTGTATCTGATTTTCTCCAGTGTCAGAAAGTGCATGGTATCTCTCTCCCCTCTTGCTGGGAGGTGTTTCCTCCCTTCAGGAGATATGACGTCTTGCAATCAGGGATGTGAATGCTATGACTGTGCAAGCTTTGCCTTTAAGGGAGCGAGTTTCAGGGGTGAATCCAAATAGTGTGCATATGGGGTTGGGAGTAATATCTTTTTGGAACATTTTACTGTAGGCTATAAAGATGTTGACCCAAAATGTACTGAGTTTGGGGCAGGACCAGAACATGTGTATGTGATCTGCTTGTTGGCCTTTACAGTCAGCACATAAAAGATTCACATCAGGGAAAATATTTGCCAGTCTTGCTAAGTGTGCTTTCAAAACAACTTTGAGTTGTATTAAGCTGTGTTGAGCACAAGAGGAAGAGGAATGTACCAGTTTAAGCACTGTCTCCCATTGATCATTTGTCATCTCCTCTCCAAGGTAATTTTCCCATGATTTCCTAACATCTTGCAGTGAGTGAGGAATGATATCACATATGTTAGAGTTTGAGTACCAAATCCTAAAGGTTGAGTCAGTGAGAAAGAGTGGAAAGTTATAATTATTCTTGATGAGAGAGTGTATAGATTTTGTCTGCGATTTGAAGTGTCTTCTAAATTAAAACCAAATCCTGTTATAGACCACCAGGTTGGAGAGAAATTGGTTTGGGGGAGGGGGCATCGGGGCACATAGTACAGACTTTGGCTAAGCAGACTACAGGCTTTTTCCATTTGCACCCAGGCCTCACATCTACCACCCTGATCTTTTTCCATCCAATGTAACGTAACTTTTATATTGCATGCCCAATAGTAATGTGTAAAATTAGGTAGGGCCAGGCCAGCAAACTTTTTATGTCTTTGAAGGGCACTTCTTTTTATTCTGTGTGGTTTGCCGTTCCAGATAAACGATAATATGCTACTGTGCAATGAATTTAAAAAGAGGTGAATACATTTAGGTAGTATAATCATTTTAATGAGATTAATCCGGCCAGTTATGGACAGAGGGAGGTTCATCCGTCTGATCATGTCTTTCTTAGATTTTTCAAATAAAACACCAAAGTTCTTAGTAAAGAGGGAGGAGAAAGCAGGTGTGATCTCAACCCCTAGGTATTTAAAGCCCTTTCTAACAGTTCTAAATGGGAAATGTGATGCAGGGATGAGGGTAGCGGGCTGGTTAAGAGGAAACATTTAGCTTTTTTTCAAAATTGATTTTGTATCCTGAGTGTTGTTTTTGTTCTGAAACTAATCTGACTAATGAAAAGGGCAAGACTCTTGTCAGTGACTATCATAAGCCGACTATTAGGGGGCAACCCTAGGTCATGTTGCATAATTCATTATAGTGTTGTTATTAGAACTTTCTGTCAAAGGCAACACGCACCTGCAGGTTCCTGTACAATCAGAGCAGCAGCCAGAGCTAAAGAATTACTTACTTACATACTTTTAAGTGTGACTTAGATTCAGGCTCTCACCCAACTCATCCACACACATACGTACATGCACATGTGCTTATTTAATCATCGGTTGTATATTCACTTTGTGCCTATTCCAGAGAACTGCAGTATGCAGAAGAAGGGCAACATCAGTAATGATGAGCGCACTGCTAAGACCTGTGAGACTCAAGTGAACAGCAAAATAGATTTTGGTAAGAGTTTGTTGTTGTGTATGTTTTCAAATGTGAGTGAGAAATTAAGCTAACAATCTGCAACTTGTCTGTCCACAGTGTACAAAGTGAGACTACAAGAGTTTACAGATGGTTTGTCCACTGACATTTACAAAGTGCGCGTAATGGAAGTCATCAAAGAAGGTGGGTTTTTATTTCTTTTGAATTGCCTAAGTGTTTGTTTTCCCAAGATGCTTTTCCTAAAGTACCTCAAAGATGAGGTATTTCTTTCCCTGAATTTTATGAGAAAGCCCCTTATAACACCTGTCACATTCACCCATTTATTTACTGATGGCAGAGGCTGCCATGCATGTTGCCAACCTGCTCGTCATAGCGCTTCCTATCCAAAGCACTAATGATGATACTAATACACATACACATAACACCGCAGTTAATGACTACAATGTTATCATAACTGATACAAAAGAGCTACAAACATAAAACCCAGTTTGTAATAAACCATAGTTTTGCTTCAAGCTTGTTCTATCTCTTCTATCTCCTATGACAGGAAATGATGATGTGGGTCCTGTGGGTAAGCTGCGCATATTCCTCAGTTATCCACACTGCAGAGAAGCTTTAGATCTGAGAAGAGGCAACACGTACCTTATCATGGGCACATCCAGAGATATTTACAGTGACGAACAGAGTCAATCGTAAGTTTATTGTGTCTGTGTATGTCCGCTGTGTTTACCTCCCTTGTGATAATTTCAGCATTTAAACTTTAACGTTTGCCTGCTTTCTGTTGTTAATCATGTACTTGCATGTAAATCAAGTTTAGTTTAGTTTATGTGGTATTTTAAATTTAGTTTTTTGAGGGAAAAACACAACTTTGCACTTGATTTTTATGGTCATCCCTTTTTGATTTATTTCAATATGTTACAGATAGCTGTCCACATAAAGAGCCAACGTGTTTTTCACTTTGCTCTCCTCAGGTATCAGTATGTCCTCGGTGAGAGAACCTGGATCGAGTACTGGCCCTCAGAAGCAGAGTGTCAAACTCAGAAACACACTGCTGCCTGTTCGGGCATTAAGGAGATGGCCCAGCGATACAAACTCAAAGGATGTCAGCAATAGAGAAAGGGATGGAAATAAAATGTTCTCTTTATTTTGCATTATTCTGTAACACTAAATTACAGTGTTAATATTTAGCGCATATGGGGTATCAATAAAATAAATGTATCGTGGTCTAAGATATTGTGGTTCAGAGATATGTGTTGTTTGAAACAAAAACCCAGCAGAAGAATTTACTAGATGTGCAATTTTTATTTGATTTGGAATGTTATGTTGAAACCTTTT